CCTATCTCGTTTGTAACTTGTGGGCTGCCTGTACATGCACATGGAGCATCTAAAGTGTGACCCAATGTTATTACAACAAGCTAGATAAAACATTTACCTCCATGTGTATTACACGTGTGTCGGATTCAGACATTACTTTAAACGTGAGTATGGATGCATCTACACTAGAATTAAGGCAATTCGACTCCACTTTACCTGCTATTGAATCATGTGTACGTTTGGCTTATCTACCAATGGGTACTGTTGCACCACAACTCCCAAGATCCCTTTGCCTTGAGGCATGGCAGTTAAAGTGGTGTCAAACTGCATTAATTCCACAACAGTGTAGATGCAACCTAAGAAAGAGCAAAAGTATGAATAGTCTGTACAACCATCTGCTCTTTTCCTCCCAGAAGAAGCCTGCCAACTCTATCCCCCTTTATATGCCCCCTCCTCCCAATCCCATGGCCTCAGCATTCATCCATGCACACCCACCTCCTCACTGACCTCACCGACTGGGCGCCGCCATCTTGAGACGTCCTGGTTGACGTCACGTCGCGAGGTGTCCAATCAGCGCGAAGGGGAGGCGGAAGCTCCACCCACTAAGAGGGAGTCCTGTTTTGCCTGGAGCTCAGAATGGTCTCTGTGTGTCGCCATGCTTTGGCCCATAAGGGTATCCCCCCCCCCCCCGTTAGATTTCGAAATACCTCTTTTTTGCATATCATAAGATATCCAAGTGATATCATCTGCATATGTAAAGTTGTTAATATTTCTTCCAGCAATTTTTACCCCAGCCTTGCATTCATCAAACCCCGCACATRGCATGAWGTGTTCTGCATACAAGTTGAATGCATCTTTGCCTTCTGATGGTTCAATATTGACACAGTTTGTTACTTTTTTAAAAGGTGTATAAAATTGTCTTCAGACAATGATGTGGCTGGGCTCAGGTTGCATTGCAGCAGGTGGTCAGTGGTTTGCTCCTCTCCACTCAACAACTTTTGTTGAGAGGTAATTAGATGTCCTTGTTTCTTTCCTCTCTGTTGTTGTGCTGTGGACAATTTCAACAGAAAGGAGGAGGTCATGAAGATGAACAAAATCTGGCTACCAGTATTAAAAAACTCTAAAATTACAACAGCACAACAACTGAGAGGAAACAAACAAGGACATCTAATTACCTCTCAACAAAAGTTTGCTCTAGGCAATGTCAAGCCATTATATGCTAATCAAGGTGGTCAGTTGAAACATTCACACCTAGCTCCAGCAGACAAGAGTCCTTTGTCCCACCCTGGTCATTCCACAGATATATAAACCCTTTTTCCTAGTTCCAAAAGACCTCACTACCTCTGAGGATGCTTGCAATAGATGCAGGCGAAACGTCAGGAGAGAATGCCTCTAGACCATGGCCATATAACCCGAAAAAACCTACAACAACCCAATAATAATAATAATAATACTTGGATCTGCGCGCATCGTTCAAAAATACATCACACAGTCCTAGACGCTTGGGAAGTGTTCGACTTGTGATTTTGTGATACGAAATCCAGCATACAGATCTCGTTTGCTGTGACATACTGTGCTTTTGTGTCAGTAAAATAATAATAATAATAATAATAATAATAATAATATATAATAATAATAATAATCTATAAATCCAGCATATAGATCTCGTTTGCTGTAACATACTGTGCCTTTGTGTCAGTATAATAATAATAATAATCTATAAATCCAGCATATAGATCTCGTTTGCTGTAACATACTGTGCCTTTGTGTCAGTATAATAATAATAATAATCTATAAATCCAGCATATAGATCTCGTTTGCTGTAACATACTATGCCTTTGTGTCAGTATAATAATAATAATAATCTATAAATCCAGCATACAGATCTCGTTTGCTGTGACACACTGTGCTTTTGTGTCAGTAAAATAATAATAATAATAATAATAATAATAATAATAATACTTATAATAATAACAATAACAATAATAATCTATAAATCCAGCATATAGATCTCGTTTGCTGTAACATACTGTGCCTTTGTGTCAGTGTAATAATAATAATAATCTATAAATCCAGCATATAGATCTCGTTTGCTGTAACATACTGTGCCTTTGTGTCAGTATAATAATAATAATAATCTATAAATCCAGCATATAGATCTCGTTTGCTGTAACATACTGTGCCTTTGTGTCAGTATAATAATAATAATAATCTATAAATCCAGCATATAGATCTCGTTTGCTGTAACATACTGTGCCTTTGTGTCAGTATAATAATAATAATAATCTATAAATCCAGCATATAGATCTTGTTTGCTGTGACATATTGTGCTTTTGTGTCAGTAAAATAATGCTACTAATAATAATAATCCATAAATCCAGCATATAGATCTCGCTTGCTGTGACATACTGTGCTTTTGTGTCAGTAAAAAAATAATACTATATTTCTATATATGAGGGGTTAGAAGGCAGGATCATCAAGTTTGCAGACGACACCAAATTGGGAGGGATAGCCAATACTCCAGAGGACAGGAGCAGGATTCAAAATGATCTTGACAGTTTAGAGAGATGGGCCAAAACTAACAAAATGAAGTTCAACAGTGACAAATGCAAGATACTCCACTTTGGCAGAAAAAACGAAATGCAAAGATACAGAAGGGGGGATGCCTGGCTCGAGAGCAGTACGTGTGAAAAAGATCTTGGAGTCCTCGTGGACAACAAGTTAAACATGAGCCAACAATGTGATGTGGCAGCAAAAAAAGCCAATGGGATTTTGGCCTGCATCAATAGGAGCATAGTGTCTAGATCTAGGGAAGTCATGCTACCCCTCTATTCTGCTTTGGTTAGACCACACCTGGAATATTGTGTCCAATTCTGGGCACCACAATTCAAGAGCTGGAATGTGTCCAGAGGAGGGCGACTAAAATGATCAAGGGTCTGGAGAACAAGCCCTATGAGGAGCGGCTTAAGGAGCTGGGCATGTTTAGCCTGAAGAAGAGAAGGCTGAGAGGAGATATGATAGCCATGTATAAATATTTGAGAGGAAGCCACAGGGAGGAGGGAGCAAGCTTGTTTTCTGCTTCCTTGGAGACTAGGACGCGGAACAATGGCTTCAAACTACAAGAAAGGAGATTCCATCTGAACATGAGGAAGAACTTCCTGACTGTGAGAGCCGTTCAGCAGTGGAACTCTCTGCCCTGGAGTGTGGTAGAGGCTTCTTCTTTGGAAGCTTTTAAACAGAGGCTGGATGGCCATCTGTCAGGGGTGATTTGAATGCAATATTCCTGCTTCTTGGCAGGGGGTTGGACTGGATGGCCCATGAGGTCTCTTCCAACTCTTTGATTCTATGATTCTGATTCTATCCCGCCCTAAAGCGGTAGCAAACTGCACCCATGCTACAGCCTGCTATGAATGAATGGTGCTCTCACAGGCATGCAGGGAGGGGAGGGGCCTCTTCCTCTCTCCGCCCCTTTCGCTCCTAGCCCCGCCCCCGCCACGGAGGGAGGGCGGGACCAAAGACGGCATGGCCCCCTCTGATTGGCCCAAGCTGGGGGCGCTGTCCTCCTCCTCCTCCTGCAGGGCTCCGCCATCGGCCGGGGGTCCCTCAGGAGGCCCAAAACAGCAGAAGTATCAGCACCAGGAGGGAAGGCAGCGGTGAGTAGCTGGGGCACATCTCTTCTGGAAAATGAATGCAAGTTGAGCCCGCTTGAACTGCTGTGGCTCAAGGCTACGGGATCCTCGGATAGCAGAGATGTCAAACTTGTAGCCCTCCAGCTGTTTGGGCCTCCAACTCCCAGAAGCCCTGGCTGGCTTGCCCAATGGCTAGGGATTATGGGAAATGGAGTCCAAAAAAAACCCAGCTAGGGGATCCTCAGAGGGCCCTTCTACACTGCCATATAATCCAGCTGTTAATCAACATGATCTGCTTTGAACTGGAAGATTTGAGTCTACACGGCCATATAATCCGGTTCAAAGCAGATAATCTGGTTTTTATTTGGCAGTGTGGAAGGGGCAAGGACCTTGCAAAACTGAAACTCTCCTGATGCCACTGAGCCAGGGCAGTTCAAGTGGTTCTGATGGTGATAATGACTCTATCTATCTACATACATACATATACTAAAGGGAGTGTCTGCCACTTATTTGAAAAGTGACCTATAGCCCATGGAGATTGATAAGACAATTGATTTTCTTATTTTTGAGTAAAGAATGGGGTGGGTGGGGGGGGGGATGTCTGGGCAAACTGGAGGGGCTGTGTGTCTGATGTTGGTCCTCTTGCTGGTTAGCATTTGGATATGGGGATCCCAGGGAACTAACTTCAGCGTTGTGTCCGCACTGTACAATGAATGTCGTTTGACACTATTTATTTATTTATTTATTTCCACATTTCTATGCCACCCTTCTCACTCTGAAGGGGACTCGGAGCAGCTTACAAGATATGTATATATATATGTGTGTGTGTGTGTGTGTATATATATATATATATACACACACACACACACATACAATATATCATATTATTAGCATAGTACAATATCAGTATTAAATATCACTATATTGCACTATGCCATTATATTGTAATATTATTAGTAATATTACATGTAATAGAATATATATAATAATAATATAACTAGCCGTCTCCTGCCATGCATTGCTGTGGCCCACATGGGTGTTCTGTGTGGGAGGTTTGGCCCAAATCTATCGTTGGTGGGGTTCAGAATGCTCTGTGATTGTTGGTGAACTATAAATCCCAGCAACTACAACTCCCAAATGTCAAGATTCTATTTTCCCCAAACTCCACCACTGTTCATATTTGGGCATATTGAGTATTTGTGTAGAGTTTGGTCCAGATCCATCATTGTTTGTGTCTACAGTGATCTCTGGATGTAGGTGAACTACAACTCAAAAACCAAAGGACACTGCCCACGAAACTCTTCCAGTATTTTCTGTTGGTCATGAGAGAACTGTGTGCCAAGTTTGGTTCAATTCCATTGTTGGTGGGGTTCAGAATGCTCTTTGATTGTAGGTGAACTATAAATCCCAGCAACTACAAATCCCAAATGACAAAATCAATTTTTTTGAGTGAAGGACATACATTGGGTTGTTAGGTGTCTTGTGTCCAAATTTGGTGCCAATTCGTCCAGTGAGTTTTGAGTTCTGTTAATCCCACAAACGAACATTACATTTTTATTTATATAGATACTAGCTGTCCCCTGCCACGCGTTGCTGTGGCTCAGTCTGTGTATATGTGTTTTATGTGTGTGTGTGTGTGTTTGCGTGTATATAATATATGTGGTTTTGTGCAAGCGCTGTATTTCTTAATTTCTTTTTGCTTTTTAAGTCCTTTTTGCAGTGTTTTTCAGTGTTTTTATGAGTGATGGTCACTCGTCGACCTGATAGGTGTCTTGTGCCCAAATTTGGTGTCAATTCCCCAAGTGGTTTTTGAGTTCTGTTAATCCCACAAACTAACATTACATTTTTATTTATATGGATTAGAATCATAGAGTTGGAAGATACCCCATGGGCCATCCAGTCCTATCCCCTGACTAGAAGCAGGAAAATCAAATTCAAAGCACCCCCGACAGATGGTCATCTAGCCTCTGTTTAAAAGCTTCCAAAGAAGGAGCCTCCACCACACTCCGGGGCAGAGAGTTCCACTGCTGAACGGCTCTCACAGTCAGGAAGTTCTTCCTCATGTTCAGATGGAATCTCCTTTCTTGTAGTTTGAAGCCATTGTTCCATTGCGTCCTAGTCTCCAGGGCAGCTGAAAACAAGCAATATTATTAGTATTAAATTGCATATTATAAATATTATATGTATATACAATATTATTAGCATAGTACAGGAGACAAGGTGGAACTGTCCCCTGTCCTCCCCCCCCCCCTTTTTCACTCTGGCCCAGAGCAGCAGTTGGTGCTGGGTGGAGGGGTCCCCATTTGGACGGCCGTGGCTCAATGCTATGGAATCAGGAGAGTTTTAGTTTTATCAGGTCTTGAGCCATTTCTGCCAAAGGGTGCTTGTGCCTTGCCAAATTACAGCTCCCATGATTCTACAGCAGGGAACCATGGCGGTTAAAGAGATGTCAAACTGTATCAACTCTTTAGTGCAGGTGCACCTTAACCTGGGAATGGGGTGTCCACTATACTGATGACACCCAAATATAATTCTCCATGCCTTCAAAAACAGCTTCAGCTAAGGATAGTGTGCCTCCTCTGAATGAACGCCTGGAAGAGGCAATAGGCTGGGGGAGGGAAAACAAATTGAAATTTAATCCAGTCAAGATAGAGGTGCTTGCTATCAAGGGTCCTAATCTAGGGATGGTGATGTGTCAGTCAGTTTTAGATGAGGTTACTCTCCCACATAAATACTTGGGAGTGCTCCTGGATCCGTCTCTCCAGATGTCAGCCCAGATAGATGTGACAGTCAGGAGTGCTTACTATCAGCTTCTGAACCACCAGCTGTGCCCCTTCCTAGATTTGAAGGAACTGAAGATGGTAGTGCACACATTGATAACCTCATGGTTGGACTTCTGCAATGCGCCTTACATTGGGCTACCCTTGTACCAAGTTTGGAAACTCCAATTAATTCAAAACACGGCAGCCAGACTAGTTACAGGAACATCTAGGAGTGAGCATATACTAAAGTCACTCCACTGGCTGCCAGTTAGTTTCCGGGCAAAGTACAAAGTGTTGGTTTTGACCTTTAAAGCCCTGCATGGTTTAGTACCAGGTTACCGACAGGATCACCTTTTCCCATACAATCAGAGGCGGCCCTAGGTAATTTTCAACGGTAAGCAAACAGTATTTTGGCGCCCCTTCCCCCCCCCCAACCAATCACTGATATATATTTTCTGTTCATCGTGGGAGTTCTGTGTGCCATATTTGGTTCAATTCCATCATTGGTGGAGTTCAGAATGCTCTTTGATTGTAGGTGAACTATACATCCCAGTAACTACAACTCGCATATGTCAAGGTCTATTTTCCCCCAAGAGCGCCTCAAGAGCGCCCCTGGGCAAAATCAACTATATTGCAAATGCTTACGTTGCATAATGGGTTGAGCCACCCCTACATACAATCCTCTCTTTAGGACATGGAGGTCCTCTGGGGGTGGTTACTCCAACCAACCAGAACCCAACTGGCAACCACCACCCAGAGGACCTTTTCAATGGCTGCCCCAAGAAGACTGTGGACCTGGAAGAGATCCGACAGCTAAATGAGCTGTTGGAATTTAAAACACAGCTGAAAATCTATCTCTTCTGGCAGGCTTACCCTGTTAGTTTTAACTATTGAATTACACCTACATTTTATTGGGGTGGTCATGTGTTTTATGTATTTCAGTCACATTGTGTTTTATCATTCTGTTTAAACCAGGGGTCCTCAAACTTTTTAGACAGAGGGCAGGTCACAGTTCCTCAAACTGTTGGAGGGCCGGATTGTAATTTGAAAAAAAAAAATGAATGAATTCCTATGCACACTACACATATCTTATTTGTAGTGCAAAAAACACTTGAGAACAGCACAATAATGAAAATGAAGAACAATTTAAACAAATACAGACTTATTAGTATTTCAATGGGAAGTGTGGGCCTGCTTTTGGCTGATGAGATAGGACTGTTGTTGTTGTTGTTGTTGTTGTTGTTGTTGTTGTGTGCTTTCAAGTCATTTCAGACTTAGGTAGACCCTGAGCAAGGGCTGGGTAAATGACCTTGGAGGGCTGTATCCGGCCCTTGGGCCGTAGTTTGAGGACCCCTGGTTTAAACCATATTGTACCCTGCATCGAGCCACAAGGAGTTGCAGGTCATAATTCTGTAGTGTAGATGCACCCTAAAATGTATGATATACATTTTATGTAAATTTATTATTTTACTAGCTGAACCCACTATGCGTTGCTGTGGCCAATCTTCTCTCCTTCCTTCCCTCTTTCCTTCCTTCCCTTTTTTCCTTTCTTTCCCTCTTTCCTTTCCTCTTTCCTTCTCTTCTTTGTCCCTTCCCCCCCCCAACTTTTCTTTCCCTTTCTCTTTCTTTCCTTTCTTCTTTCTCTGCAACTCCCAACAATCCTCCTCATCGATATACTTACCTATCTATCTATCTATCTATCTATCTATCTCTCTCTATCTAATCTATCTATCTGGAGGATTGCTGGGAATTGCAGTATGCATGGATTGGGATGCTCTCAAAGAAATCAAAGGAAAAGAAAGCTTGCAGCTTGGAAGCAGTGCATTTGGATCACCCTCCTCTCCTAAAGAGCCTGGTCTCGGGGATGCTGGGAGCTGTAGTCCAGAAGAGAAAGTGAATATGCTATTGTGTATTTTGTTTGCCAGGGGGAGTCGTTTTGCGCATGCACTGTAGCATCTTTTTGCTTTTTTGGCTTTTTCAGTCCCTTCTGCTATGTTTTTTAGTGTTTTTATGAGTGACGGTCACTCATTGGCCAGATAGGTGTTTTATGTCCAAATTTGGTGTCAATTTGTCCAGTGGTTTTTGAGTTATGTTAATCCCACAAATGAACATTACGTTTTTATTTATATAGATACAATGTTATTAGTATAGTTGTTCCTCTACCTTTGTGGAGCTGAGGGGTGCTTAGCTTGTTCAGTGGGGGCTAAGGAGGTGGGATAGGTGTATCAGGAGGAGGGAGGTATACACACTTGCTCACTCATG